CTGGTGCCTGGAGACGGCTCTCTGGTGCCTGGCTGGTGGCTGGTGACACTTCTCTGTTGTTCTCCTGCAGCGCCTGGTGGTGAAGCCGGACCAGCTGATCAAGCGCCGGGGGAAGCTGGGCCTCGTGGGCGTCAACCTGGACCTGCAGGGGGTGAAGGAGTGGCTGAAACCGCGGCTCAACGTGGAAACCACTGTGAGTACCGCATTGCCTCTGCCTTTCCAGCGCCCTCCCCTGCGCAGAGCACACCCTGTGGAGGGCCGAGGGCTTTTCTGCATCTTTCTTTTCACTGGGGTGGTCCTGAGGCTTGTCCAGATCCCCTCTCCCAGAATATGGGGGTGCCAGTCACCGCATCGGTTGGCCTCCCTGCGGATCGGGGGGCTTGTCGGGGAGCTGTCAGGACCTGGGGAGAGGGAGGGGGCGGTGTGAGTGGTCGGAACAGTTTGGACAGGGGAGTCTCAGGTGACACTCTGGCGTGGGGGCGTGGGTGTCCAGGGATGGAGCTTTCTGTCGCCCGGAAAATGTTCTTGCGTGTTGACGGATTGAAAAATAAATACGTGCAATAAGTCACGTCAGTTTCTCCGAGAACATAATTCAAAACGCCGCAGGCTTGGAAACTTGGAAGCAATTTGTGCGCTGTTCATTTATTTGGTACGTCTAAAGCAGGTGCCTGGCATTTGAAGTGTGGCTCTCTGCATTAATGAGTGCCGTCTCGATACTCCAGTCTCTGGGCCACTGCAGCAGAGCGGCGTCCTTGACTCTGACAGGCAGTGGATCTCGGAGTTGTTTCCCCTTTATCTGGATTTACGATGACAGGTTTTGATGCGACCAGCTGAGGCCGAGTTGTCTGTTGCTTTTATTTTTTTCTTGAGGCTTTGCTGCAGTGCCTTTAATGCAAGGACCGCTGGCGGCCAGGCTGAGGTGTTAGTGTCTCCTCCGCTTTTCTGCCGGGTGTTGTGTTACAGGCTGGCCCCTGCTCCAAGGCTGTTGGTTGGTTTATCGTGCTGGTGCGAGGTGTCTGTGGTGATCGCTCTGCTCTGACATGAAAGTCTATCTGCGGTAGCCCTGCCCTCCTGTCAGTGTGTCCCGCTTCCTCAGACTAGGACAGATGGGATTTGTGCTGTGAAGCAGTCTGGGTCATGCTTTTGTTGAAGTTGAACAGATAAGGATTTAATAAATATTCTACCTAATATCAGTTTTCCAGAAATTACAGATTATTATAATGAGTTAGTACTGTGCATCTGTGTTTTATTTATCGTGTACAGAATCTCTGTTTATAGTCAACTGATGTGTAATAGAATTTGTTAAGCTCCTGTTTATACAACTGAATTTGCGGTGTGGCTGCAGGCTGTTATTATGCTGAGAGGCTGGGAGTGGACAGCCTGACTCACGGAGACAGGAGCAGCTCCAGACGGACAGGCAGGAGCTTGGAGTGGACAGCCTGGCTCACAGAGACTTTCCTTTTGTTTTTCTGTCTTTCCTTTGTGTGTCTCCATTTTCTTTTTATTGGTCTCCACCCATCCTCTTGATTATTGGTTCCGCAGACACTCCATAACCCTGAACGTGATTTTTATTGTGTTGGAAACGTGCTGCGTTGGTCCAGCTCGCTTACGGCTGTGGATCAGATTCACTGACTGTTGGATTTTTTAGTTTGCAATTAAGAGTTTGTATTGTTGTTTTTGTTCCTCCCCCCTAGATTGCAAAGGCTAAAGGCGTCCTCAAGAACTTTCTCATCGAACCCTTCGTGGCTCACAAGCAGGTAGGAGAGCTGGGCGGTGTGCTGGGCCAGCTTTCAGATCCAGGCAAGCCTGCCGATCTCGGATTTTGCCGTCTCTTGGCTTCTAAATGAGTAAACGCCGGCTCCAGCAGCGTGTTCTGTTCCTGTGAGCCGGCTTGCTTGTGTCTGTTCTGATTTCCCTCGCGGCGTCTGTGTTTGTGGGCCAGTTCCTCCCGGTCTCCGTCATGATGTTAATTGTTTAGAGTCTCCGTTCCTCCGCCCTGCCTTCTCTTTCCTGTCTGACGGGGCTGCTCCGCGTCTCTCCAGGCGGAGGAGTTCTACGTGTGCATCTACGCCACGCGGGAAGGCGATTACGTGCTGTTCCACCACGAGGGGGGCGTGGACGTGGGCGATGTGGACGCCAAGGCGCAGAAGCACCTGGTGGGTGTGGGCGCCAAGCTGACCGAGGAGGCCGTGAAGACGCACCTGCTGGAGCACGTGCCAGCCGCCAAGAAGGAGTGAGCCACTGGTTTTTCCTTCGGGGGGGGGGGGCGGCTGTTCTTACATTCGGCTTCCTGCAGGGGTTCCGTTTTCCGTCTGCAAAGCCCACAGCAGACGCACTGAGTGTTATCGGAGGGCGTGTGCAGCTCTCACTGGTAACACGGGGAAAAACTGGGTGCCCAGGACGTCACATGGGTTGATGTTCCATGGCCAATTGAGCCTGTCCCACCCAGCAAACCACCCAGGCCACCCTGTGGTGCTCAGCCTACTGGACCCTGCCGCCTGCCTGCAGTGTGCTACAGACATAGACCTACATTTCTGAATGGACGTTTGGTCCATCACTCATGCTCGTTCTGTGTTTGTTTCTGGCACGTTTTCCTTGCTCTTCGCCTGTCCTGATCTGTTTGAACCCACTGACCTCGGCGGCCCTGTTTGACAGGAGGATGCATGAGCTGCTGCTCTTCATCGCTTGGCTGGCCTTGAGATAGATGTCTCACACACACACACACACACACACACACACACCCTTGCTCGCTCTTTGATTTCCAGCGAACACCAAAGCAAAACAAGCTGGGCATCCATCAGCAGGCCTGACAGGAGGAGCTGAATCTGAGTTCTCGCACAAATGGGGCCTCATGGGCTGATGGACTGGGGGGTTGTGTGAGAAAACAAAGTGTGAGCAATTGACAGTTTGAATCCCAGCAAGCACAGCGTCTGTCAGAAATTGACAGGCTGGAAAAGCTGCTCTCTGTCTTTTTTTTTTATTTCTGATCTGTCCGTTCCTCCTCCTTGCTGGGCTGGGTTAGAGAAGTGGGATTTCTGCTGCGTTGTTTGTGCCCAGGCAACCAGCCTGAGTCATTTTATTATTAGTTTCTTCCGTGTTTTGGAACCACTTTTCAGCAAAACCTGCTGCCTGCCTCCACTCTGTTAACCCTAACTGATGCCTGAAAAAAAAAAGATCTACAGATTTATCCAGAAAGTGCAAGTTCTTTTCTGAAGTCTTACCAGAGGTGGTCAAAACAAAACCTGAATGTCTTGTGTTTTATGTCTGTCCTGTGGTCTCTTGCAGTGTGCTGGCCAGTTTCGTGATGGGGCTGTTCAACCTGTATGAAGATCTGTACTTCACCTATCTGGAGATCAACCCCCTGGGTATGTCCCAAATTGCGCTGACACCCAAGATTTCAACTGATTAATGCCTGAACTATAAAGGCTTGGTAACTGGTATCAGGTGCACATTAACAGTCTTAGACTGTGTAAATGTTGATTATATTAAAAACCTGTGGCATGAGATAAGGATACAGATTTTATAAAGCAGTGTTTTCAAGTTTCTAGAGTCTTATGGACCTGAGAGCCTTATTACTTGAAGTTATTGATTATCAGGTTAATTTGGAATTTGATTAGAGTTCAGTTCAGTGGGTCATTTCTAATTACAATGCATCCATAACTGTTCTGGATAAAAAGCAAGGGATGAGTAGTAAGTTCAAAACTTCAGAGAAAAAAACATTTGAATAATCCATAGTTGCATAATTTCAATTTTTGATTGCTCGAGATGTCTTTGAAAATCAGATGAATGAATTTATGCCCACAGATGAGCAGATGTTATCTGGCTTTGCTGTGAAGATCACAACTGATGAAACATCTTTGATGTTCTTTCCAGAATAAGTTCAAAAATGGGGGAAAAAAGAGATCCATTCAGTTGAGGATTTTTTTTGTTCAGCCCATAACAATTTTAAGTATCCTGGAATTGCAGAGCCTGTTTTTACTTAATGTAAAACGGTCAAGTTCTGCAGGTATTTAATTCTGTTTAAGCAAGTGGAAGTTTGTATTAAAGAAATCTCATGGTGACCGCTGGGATCGAACCCCCAGACTCGGGCATGCAAGGCACACGCCTAACCCATTAGGCCGCACCCGTAATCGTGTTATATGTGATTATATATTTGCATTTATGTGTTTGTAGAGATCTTATTAGTTCATGTTTGTCTGGGTGAGGCAGCCAGTTGTTCAGTTGTAGCGCCTCCTGTTGGGCAGATTGGGAGTGTGTTTCCCGGGCTCACTGTCTGCCCTGCCCTGCTCCTCAGTGGTGACCAAAGACGGCGTGTACGTGCTGGACATGGCAGCCAAGATCGACGCCACGGCCGACTACCTCTGCAAGGCCAAGTGGGGGGACGTGGAGTTCCCCCCCCCCTTCGGGAGGGAGGCCTACCCCGAGGTGAGCAGACTGAGCCGGTGGGGGGGGGGGTCATCATCCTGCTGAGTGACCAGGAGCTCCGGACACAGGACTGGAAGATCCTGAGCACCCTTACTGCAGCATGTGGCTGACATCAATGTGCTCCTTCAGGATTTGCCGAGGCTTAAACTCTGAAGCCACCTGCTCTTACAGTGGTGACCCCTGTGGCCCCTCGGCTATAGAGCCCGTGTAATGAGATGCATATCACTGTCGTTAAGGCTAAATATCGCCGTGTAAAAAAACACTTTCTGTTGTGGAGGGCGTTTTGTTCCCATACGACTTACAGGACAGGCACGTAAGTATTCATGTTTGTCACATCACGTCTTAGGTTTTGGGTTATTGTACCTGTTACACTGCTGGGAAAAATGACGATAGGGGATTGCAAATGCCTTTAGCAAACCTGATTTATGCTGCATAAGACTGCCTTCATTTATAGGATGTTTCCAGTTTGCTAACCCCAGCAAAGCCTTAATATTTGACCCCCCCCACAGGTATTTAAGGCGACTGGAGTAGTTTTGGGAATCACTGTAAATTCTGGGTCTTGTTTTCCTGCCTCAACATGCAGCCTCCTCCAAGTCGGAAATTGTCCCCTATTCTCTGCCAGCTCTCTTCCCCTGTGCAGTAACCTGCTCCTCATCCCTGTCCTCTTAGCGCTAACGAGATCTGATCACCTTCCAGATCTCTGCTCTTCCTCCGGGCCTTCTGCAGCGCCTGCCCGCCAAGAGTTACTGTCCGTTTCTTTCTTCCCAAATTTAATTTGTATTTTTATTTTCCCATCCTCATATTTCATCTCCCTCGGGCAATTACCCTGACTGCGTTGGGTGCGCTCATTATGGGGAGTGAATCTAACCGGTGCAGTAAATCCAGCTCTGACTCATTCTTTCTGAGAGATGGCAGGGCAATATGGTAAAAGGCAGCCTGTTGCTTCGCGTGCAGCTGACCCTGCGCCCCCTGTCCCTGTCCCTGTCCCTGTCCCTGTCCTCAAAGTGCAAGATCAGCGCTCCGAGCTAACCCATTCCTGCCATGTTTTCATTGAGCTCTACAATATAGAACGGCTACAGAGCATTTCAGCTGTCTGCTTTTTTTCTTGGAAAATTAATGTGATCATGCGAATGAGTTTTCATCCTCCTGTCACTTTCCCAGCCATTCAGGTGTTCTTAATTGTCGCTTCGGGGGCTGTTATTTCCGCAGCCCGTTGGCCTTAATTGGATTGCAGGAAATCTTTGCTGCTTTGTTGTTCGCACAGAGAGTAGGGGGAGATGTGCGCCTCCGAGTGAGTCACTTTTCCCCAGGCAGTGACTGAACAATCTGTATTATTAAAATTGAATATCGATTACTTAGTATACAGCTACGGCATTAAGTGATTTATTAATATCGTTGTCTGTATGTGGATATTTATTATGGATTTATGATGATTTATTGATTTAGAGTTCCGACACATTCCTGAAGTGCAATGTAGATTTTTCCTTTGATGTCTGAAACGTTTCTCGAGTTTTATGTGTCTGTGTATATATGGTATGTGTTGAGTGTATGGGGAACTCCCCAGGTCGAATTCCTTGTGAGAGAAAACTTGCTTGGCCAATAAAGTGATCTATCGATCTGATCAGCTCCCT